GGCAGGGGGAGACGATGAATTGGGGAATTACTAACTTGAAATTTAAGTTGGTTTGGTAAATTGAATCTTGGTTGACATTGTCAATGCGTTGAGGCTTATTTTTTTACTTTGCAGAAACAAAAGAAGAGTCAAAAGCCCCTTAACTCTAACTGGCTGGGGTCTAGTGGCTGCAATTACTCTGTGTTGTTGTCCATCAATTTTCCAGCAAATTGGTAAGTTTTCCTTTTTTCCTTAAATCAAATTATCATAACTTGCAATCATCAAAAGGGATGTGAAATGCGTTAAGGGATGGTTTTTATGTGATCATGAATGATCTGTGATTTGTGAATTAAGTTGAGATTGACATGGAATTCAGTTGAAGTTTTGTTTTCTAGGAAATTGTGTATTACACTATAGTCCGGAATTGAGGTACTTGTTTATGTGTTGAAAAATATAAAACTACATAAAACAAATGTCTTATTGAAATATGTTCGAAGAACTTTCAGGAAATGATAAGGGAAAGTATATATAGCCATACATATTAATAATATAATAGCAGAAAATAAAAGGCGATAACTAAATTACGTAAATTAAAGAAAGACAACATGTAAACAATGAAATTTTGATTACATCATTACACTGTCCATTACAAGTATTTGTAAAGAAACACCAATAATAAGTCAACAGCAAACAAATATTGGCCGATATGCAGTCTTCCATTATAGGATAGTGTAAAAACTCAAAATATTTAGTTTTTAGATAATCCTTTCTGTGGTGATGCTAAACTAATATAGTGCATTTTTTATCATTGTAATTTACTTTACAGGACAATCATTAACTCCTGCAGTCTTGTGAACCACACAGTTACTGTAGATTATATTCGAAAACCAGTTCCTGCTCTTCTAAAATGCTTTCGTCTGTTATTTCTCGATATTCAACTTTCTTACCTTCTTCTTTGCTTCTCGCCCAATTCGAAAACTTTCTTTTCCATCACGGTTATTACTCCACTCCCTCCAAACCCCAAAATCTCACTTCCT